ATATTATGCATTTTTGTATAAAAAGATAAGCTTTCCGTAATTAATAAAGAATAACTTGTATAACTTGTATTTTTTTTAATAATTAAAACATTATATAGTATTTTGACGTAAGGAAAAAGGGTTTCCTTACAACAACTATGCTCCAACCACAAAAAGAATGACCAAAATCATGTTAAATCAGATATCTTCTCCAAAGGAAATCTTTTTCATGGTCATCTAGAAGAAAAACACAAGGCCATATTGGAAAAATTGAAAAATGAAATTATGCAATTTAACAAGGCTTTAGAAAGTTTGAGAGCAGAGATGAAACAAATGAGAAAAGATATAGAAATTTATGTTGCTCCAAAATTGATTATAACTCCAACACCAATCATAAATACAACTCAACCACCACTTAAAACTACATTACAACAACCCATTAAACATAAACGCAATTTCACTGAAGTAACCCCATCATCATCTTCTGATACACAAGATTCAGAAACTGAACAAATACCTTCACCTAAGCAATTATTAGCAAGACAAGATAATTTAGAAAATCAAATTGAAAAACAAGCTAATATTTTGCATCGAATCTACAATTTCATGAATTCTGGTTCACCCACAGAAAGTGATGACAATGATACAATAGCGGAAGAAAAAGAAGAAGATGAAGAAGAAATGGATCACGATCCTTCCTTCCCTACTGCTTCTACCCAATAATGTTCAACATTATAACCTTATCATCATTAATGATTAATCATAATATTAATAATCAAAATAATAATAATCAAAATCGAAACATACAATTTCCTTTCCGCTTCATGACTCTAAATATACAAGGTCTAAACTCATATGCTAAACAACAACAATTAGTTGATATGATGAATTCAAATCATATAGATTGTTTAGGATTATCTGAAACAAAAATTGCAAATAAAAATTCAAAACATATTATAAACAACACCAAGAGTTTGTCACCTATTTTAATAATGATAATAATACAACAATGGGCACAGGTGTTGGAATACTCCTTTCGAAACAACTTGCAAAATATGTACAAAAAGTAACTAAACATAAAGGCAGAGTAATATACATTGATCTATTCTTGAAAGGGAAGATCAAACTACAAATCATTCAAATTAATTTACATGCCAACACCACAGGAATCCAACAAGAAATCAAAAACCTTCATGAATATATTTTCAGTACTCTTGAAAACTCACAAAAAAACCATTTCAAAATTATACTAATGGGAGATTTCAATATGAATTATGAAAAATATTTATCGGCATCAGGAAAATGTGTTTTTTTTGATACACATATTATATGTATATTATATGTGTATTATTTTACATTACAGGTGATCCGCATATAATATACATATAATACACATGTCCATAAATTACACACGAATTATACATATATTATATGCAGATCACCTGTAATGTAAAATAATACATGTATAATATACATATAATATATGTATCAAAAAACACGTTTTCCTGATGCCATATTGCCATGCAGCAGAGGAGAGAAGTTGTCCTAATGATTTTTTATTTGTCCAACTTCCTTGAGGCCAATATTGTGTGTAGAGGGTGTTTCAAATACTATTTATGATAAGTTTATTGGTGGAGTCAGGGGTGTTTTGGGATGTAGTTACAGCTTGGAAACATTACCTCATATACTTGAAAGCACCTTCACTTCTGTTGAAAGGAAATTAATCTCCAAGGGTCAAGTGATAAAATGCTGTTTGTTAGCCAATAGAGAACCTTCAAAAACAGTTCAAGTCATTCTTTCAACGGCGCTTTGGATTGCAGGCTCAAGATCTTTATCTTTAAGGAATCCTCCAAGTCTGGTTTTCTACTGTGCATTGTTTGTATTTTGTGTTTTTTTCTTGAACAGATTTGGATGCACAATGTTTTTGAAGTTTACAAAGGCTGCTTGAAGAAAGTGAATGATCAGTCTCCTTACAAGTTGGACAAAGATGTTCTAGATATTTAAAAGATATATTAAGTGCTATTCCTAAAAAAATAAAGGCAGATAAATGGTAAGTATTTACTTGGTTTTTGTTCTTTGTTTATGTCCTTGTTTGCTTTTCTTTTAGCTGCATTTTTGAAGATTCTGCATATGGTATATCTGTTTCTATATTAATATTTTTGCATTTTTTTGCAAGAATCTCTACTTTTTCATCACTGGGAGCTTTTTGTTTGCTTTTATGTATTAACATTGAAATGATAAAACAGAATTGACAAAATTCTAATCATGAAAAAAAAAAATGGTTGAGAAAAAAAGTTGTTTTTTTGGTTTAAAATGTTCTTTTGATTTCTTATAATGGATGATGATATTGTATTATTTGCCAAAGGAAATTGGAAGGAAATTGAATAAATTTTTTTTTGAAAAGATTGAAAAAATCACATCATTTGTTTACTTTTTATAAGAAAAGCATCATTTTATTATTAAATAATTGACAATTGAATTGTTTATTGTTTATTAGCTAAAGATGCTATTTAATATTATTATCATTTATCCTGTTTTTTAGATTGTATCATTGATATGTTTATTACTAAAAATAAAACATGCATTTAATTGAGTTGATTATTTTTTTTATTACTAAAAACAAAAGTGCTGCGCATTTAACTAATTGATTATTTAATTACAGTGTGTAATGAAAAAAATTGACCTCCGTTTATTTATAATAATTGAATAAATATTTATTTAAATTGAGCATACAATAGCTTGTTTAAAAGCCTAAAACCAAGTAATTTATTGATATATATATTAATAATTGATTCATTTGCCGTTACTATCAATTATCATCTGGCAATGATTATTCATTGACGAAACAAGGTTAGACAACATAGGACTTGGAATTTTTTCCCATTCCTTGACCAAATACTGCCGCAACTTGCTAATATTTGCTGGCATATGCTTTTCTACATTATGTTTAACAATGCTCCATGGGTTTTCTATGGGGTTAAGGTCTGGGCTGTTAGCTGGCCGATCGATGACTTCAGGGAAGTACTCATCAAGGAAATTTTTGGCAACCCAACTAGTGTGCTTTGGGTCATTGTCTTGTTGGAATCTCCACTACCTACCAAGCATCCTTTGGATTTCTGGAAGGTGCTGGCGCAAAATTCAACATAAAACTCTCCATTCATGATCTCAGTAAAGCAAAACAAGCTAGCCTTCCCTTTAACACAAAACCCACCCCAGGCAAAGACTTTTTGTCGGTCTTTAGGAAGTGACCGAATAGGTTTTGGACCCCTATACCATCATTTTGTTGTGTTCCTAAACAGATGGAAGGCAGTTTCATCAGAAAACAAGGTCCTTTCCCAAATATCATTTAGGTGATTCCTAGCCCATTCAACTCGTCTTGCCTTGTGATTAACTGTGAGCATTGGGGTACCAGTTGGAAGTGCATTTTTGTAGCCAAGCTCTTTCAATCTTCTTGCTACAGCCATATGCAATACAGAATTTTCATTATTGGATAATTTTATTGCTAGGGTTCACAAAGATGTGGAACTGTCATTGCAAATGTATTGCTCAAGCTCATGCATCATTGCTGATCCTATCTTTTTTAGATGGCCATTACCTCCCTTATGTGAAACATCCCGGTTTCTTTTATTTTTTAATATTATATTTGACTGTTGATAGGGGAATGTTAGTTTTGTGTGAAGTTCCTTTGGAGAATGTATTCCTTGGTTCCAATAATAAAAAAGTGTTGAACGTTGCAAATCGAACTTGTTTGATGACATTTTTTTATGTTGACCAAACTAAGATTGATGGTTCAAAAATTTTGTTTTTACAACACAGGGGTTTAGTATGATTGTTTGATTTAATTGGATGGGATTTAATTACTTATTCGCGAAACTGTATGCTTTTGAATTTTGCATCATTGGAGGTCAATTTTTTTCATTACACACTGTACTTAAGAAAAGCATTATGCATTTAATTAATCAATTGACAATTGAAATTTATTATTCATTTACTTGACAATTGGATTGATTATTTGTTTATTACTAAAATTAAAATGTGCATTTAATTAAATGTCAATTGAATTGATTATTTGTTTATCCCTGTTGGGATAAAAATATTGTTACTGGAATTAAACTTTGACAAAGATCTAATCTCTATTTTTATTTATTTTTCTAATTGTTTATTTGTATAACAGTCACAGGACATTGCAGATCTACAGGGGGTCAAGTGTCACTCACTAATAAAATTTTTTTGATCAACACGGAATTTTATATGAAAAATGAAGAAAAAAATCACGTTTTCATAAGCATAGATAAAAATCCTATCATTGGATAGATTGGTCACATGCATTTAATAGAGATGATTGACAATTTATATGTGAAGAGTATTGTAAAATTGAAAAAGTGTCACTTAGAAAAGTGGCATGCCCCATATTAAATAACACCACCTCAAACTTTGCACAAATGTTATATTACTATTGTTTATTTCTGATCCATTAATAACTTTTCCCGATCCACGCTGAGTTTTGACTTTTATTAGTAATGCCGTTTGCTCTAAATTTCACTTTATTACATTCATAACATCCAAATTTATCAATGATCTACATTTTAATTTTCTTTGAACAGAATCCAAAAATTTCATGTGAAATAAACACTTGCCAATTCAGCATATTATGACATTATATTTCCATTGAGTTATAGAATAACCAAAGTTTTAACTATTCTCTATGTTATTTTATGTTATTTTAGTTTTTTTACTGATTAACAATTAATAGACAAAAGATTATTTAATTTTTTTTGCAGAAAATGGTTTTTGTATGAGAATTCTTTTTACCAGTCCCCAGTTTAAAATAAGAAGAGAGAATATTGAATAATAAATAAAATTGAACTATTATACATTTTTCTCGAGTAAATGTTAATTTTTTTGGAAACACATGTGATTTTTAATTTCAATTTTCGTTGGTCAATCTCACTTGATTTTTGTAATGCCATAACAGTCAATGATAGGATTTTTATCTATGCTAAAAAAAACCGTATATATGTATTTACATTTATGACATTAATATTAATTAGATTTGTTAATCAACTTATATCGAATACCCCAGTGTCATGCGGTGCAGATCATCCGATCTTGTAAAACATTAATTTATCGGCACAGTAATAATGAATGATGTGTCGTTATATATTAATATTATGAAATAATTTTCGAATTGGTAAAAAAATCATAAGATTTCTTAAAATTTTTAATATCATATGAAATATATGTCTTATATGATGGAATAAATTATATAAATTAATCGCAAAAAAATATAGTAATTCTTAATTCTCTAAAATAAAATTGGTAATCATGAAGATTTTAACGATTTTGATTATTTTTTTGATAGCGATAATAAATGTAATAAATGCTATTCAATATGAAAAAAATGATTTCAACAAAATAATAACAAGAAAAAGAGGAAAGGCCATTAAAAGTAAATATTTTTTTAAACGCAAAGAAGCAATTCCGATCAATTCTAATTACCAGCGTGATGAAAAATATGATAAACTTAATAGACGTGATACAGTAGTGACAATGACTGTACCTATTTCTATCATTCCAAAAAAACATTTTCCTCGTTCTATTACTGTTCCTTTTGTTGAAATCTTTCCTACTATTATAATGCCTAACGCTACTTCTCTATCCGTTTCGATAAATGCAACTTCTTCAACTACCGCAACAACCCCGGAGATAACCCCGGAGATAACATCGACAACAACCCCACCTCCTCATACTAGGCAATTAAAAGAATAAGTTATTTTTATTAAGTTAATTATTTATAAATTATTTAATTATTTAATTTATTATTATATAGGGTACCAAAAACTGTGACCACAACACCACCACCTGAAACAACGACTGTATTTTTACCTGCGACAACAAATCAAGATCTGCCATTTAATGACGGAAATCATATAAAATTTAATTTTATTTCGAGTTTATTAATAATTTTTAGTACATGCCTATATTTAATTTTCTAATAATAATTTTTAAATATCTGATTGATTAAATAAAAATTTATTTGAAAAAATGTTAAATGTTGGAAAAATTTAACCAAACATTATCCACTGGGTATAACCTCTTGGTGAAAGAAGCATTGGCTTTTTCTGGGGTGTCTTCCTCTTGAATTTTATTCAATATGTTTCCTCATTGATTATTTATTTATAATAAACTTGATCATTATGCCACCTGCTTGGTTTTATCTTGATGGAAATTTGGCAGCATCCAATCAAAGAAAAACTAATCTTGGAACAAATCTTTTTGTTAATATCACGAGATTTATGTTTGAAGTTTGCTATCATAGACCTTCAATCGGTTGCTATGGAAAATCTCACTATATACATTATAATCAATCAAATATACCACAATTAATTTCAAACAATACCCATTAGTTCCATCTACACATTTATTATCAATTGGTATACATCAAGATATGTCTCATTATTAGTACTACTATTTGTTGGATTAATTTTGATTTTAATTTAATTTACCCCACCTCTAAATATTTTTAAAATACAAATAAATACAAATAATAATATGATAATCTATAATAATTAGGTAATATAATATTAATATAATAATAATATAATAATGTATGTAATTGTACTATATATAAAATTAACTTAAAATATGAATTGATGTTCTTGTTTTATTACTGAATGTCCTGCATAATTTAAATGAGGTTTACCATCAATAATTGGTAATTTAAAATAAGCAGCATTGAATTCTTTATTAGATTTATATTCTGCAGCCTTTTGTCTTTGCCTCTCTTCTATTATTTGTTTCTTTTTTGTGGCCTTTGTATAGTCTTTTTGAAATAAAACTGTTGTGACAGGTTTTCAAACATTACATGATTCAAGTGGTCTTTGTTTTGAAATTGGTTTGACTTTTTTTTGGAATTGGGAATATCCTTTCCATATCTAAAAGTAATTTTGTTTCCTAATCATATTAATAATTTTCATATAATTTTTTTTTTTAAAAAATAACAAAATAAATACAATTAAATAATTATTTACATTTGTATTCAGTCTTGTTGCATGGACTTGTCCACACCAACTACCAGTGATTCAGCTAAAACATCATTTTCATTAACCATCTTCAATTTTTTTTATCATCATTCTTCGGATCATATTTAAATATCTTGCCTTCTATGGCAAATTTTGGTTTTCCAAGCCATTGCTTTTTTTAAAAAAAAAAAGTAATTATTTTTAATCAATTAATTATTTATAGTCTACATAGGCATTATGTGCATATAAATACTATATAAATAAATAATCATATTATATTTACCTCTTCTTTATATTCTAATATTGCTTTCAATTTTGTCTTTTGACAAGTTATAATGCAGCTTCCAGCAACAACTACATATGGTGAAGCTTTTAACCAACCTTGCACACTGGCTACAGGATGAGTTAATAAATATTCTTCATTTCTTTCACTCAGATTCCTTTATTTTGTTCACCTGGTCCAATTGTATATATATATATATATATATAATTTTATCATTTAAAAATTAAAAGAAAAAAAAGAAATCCAATTTTCAAAATGTTTTTACAAGTTCTGGTAAATCTTGCCAAAAGTTGATCTACTCCACAAGCAGTTATTCCTTTATCTTCACTATGATAACAAAAAGCTGAAACTGGTGGATGATGTGATATTTGTTCTGTTAAACATGTAACTTTATAATTCTTTGATTGTTATTGTTTTCATTTGTCACTCAATGAAGTTTCCTTTTTTATCAAACCTTGGTTCTGAAACATCCCAATGACATGAAAATTGTTCTCCAAGAATCGAATTATATGGTTTTATCAACTTTCCTTTCTAAATAGTAATAGAAACGTCATGATTAGTTACTATTTTTATTCTAGAATATTTGACAACAATTACACTCTGATTAATAATGTTAACATCTACACACAACCTATTTTTAAATCTACCTTTCCAATGGATCATCTGAGTAACATATCGAAATGTTCCTTGACATCTTGTAATAAATATTAATATTAATATTGATTACGAAAAGCAAAAACAATCCCAATCATTTACTATCATCTTGATAAGAATTCTTTATAATAAATACCTAGAGACATGACAAAATCTTGATTTCAATAATACATTTATAAAATATATTATATTTCTTGCTATCAATAAAAAACGCCTCTCTTCTCCAGCAGAACAAACCACCCACCATACCAAATAACAATATTAGTATGTTCTTCAATGAGTGCCTGGCTTGCTTATCTTGGGCTCTTCATCTAAAAAAAAATTTAAAAAAATATATCTCAAGAAATGCTTTTTAGTGTTATGTTATACTAACGTAATCAACACATAATTAATGAAAAACAGTTTCAAATAAGTTGCTGCCACATGGCCACACAACAGATTGTAAACTGTCATAGAACTCAGCTCGCCACATGGCCGCAACCTTGTTCCGTTTTACCTGTCTAACCTTACCGTATAGAGGCTATCCGCCACATGGCCGCAATTTACAATGTAAGGTGCGCCAGAGGAACTATACCACCACATGACCGCATACAGTTCATAAGCGCGCAGCTCACGGCTTCCTTGCCACATGGCCACAGGAAGTAACGGAGCTGAAATGTTTTATCCAATCTTTGGAAAAACTGATCAGTGAACTTATACTCAAATCCATATAGTTCAAGTATCATGCAATAAAATAATTGTACCTTTCAAACAATTTTGTCAATTCTTCAGCAACAAAGTTGAGCGATCTTAATTTGACTAGGCATTGAATATTACAGAATTTCTGCTTATATAGTTTTGAAGAGCAAGTTTCATTTTTTTTTTTTTTTTTGTTCAGTGAGGTCTGATTAGTTTATTTATGTTAATGATTTTTAATATACATGATTATATATATCTATACATTTATATTAGAACAAAATAAAACTAACTCGATCTAACTTACGGACCCGTATTTTAAACCGCGACCTACCACCAAGTTTCATTTTTTTTTTTTTATGTTTGGAGAATTAATTACATGATCACGTGTAAAAATACAATCATGAACATAATAGATGCCACATTAATTTATGATATATACGAATATATACACATATATAAAAATGAACCAAATCCAAGTCCAAGTAAGTACTGAAAACTGTTTAATATTTTCTAGTCATTCTTTGGTCTAATAATTTTTGTTTTTTTATTTTTAAATTAGAATCAAATTTATAAATGCAATCTGTGTCAACATGATTATGAGTATAAAAATATTAATGGTTTACGAAGACATGAAGCTCAAAACCATAAAGAATATAATAATCCGTCTGTAAGTATATTATCATTAGAAGTTACTGAATTTTTGGTTAGGCAATTTAAACAAGAAATTATATCTGGTTTTTGGAGTTGCTACAAAAATAATAGAAGTGGAAGAGGATGGAAAAAATTTGTTCTAGTTTGTCATGAGGCTGTATTTGTTCAAATATTTGGAAATTATATAACAAGATATTCAAGTGGTGATAGGTGGTATAGATGTGTTTTTAAAGGAATGGTGGGGAAAGAAAATTTAAATGAATGTTTGGGATCAGAAGAATGGGCCATTAAATATTATGAAAATAATGAAGCTGTTTTCTCAGATATTTGTACATGATCAGAAGATGCAGGAGATGTAGTATTTATGTGGAAGGAAATAGAAATTGTAGACAGTAGGGAAAACAAGACGATAAGTAACAAGTTGATTGTTAAGTTATGTATGAATAGGAGCACCTTAGTTTTAGGAGAAAACAATAATAATTTATAATAAATAAAAATTTATAATAATTTTATATTAAATTTTTCATTAATATATTACTAATATATTATAAAAACAAAAAGTTAATGTGTAACTTTTACTTACTATTTTTCCTATTTAAATTCTTGTCTATCTTGAGAATCATTACCTCGTAACTCTGAGAATAGAATGATCTGTGTTCATTTGTTTATATAATAAAAAATAATAAAAATAACTAGTTAAACTATAATAATTATAATTACTATGAGGTCTTTCTTTATTACTGGTGGTGATCAGAGCCTTGATTATTGGTGGTGGCAAAAACTGAACTTTGAAAGAATTGGAAATGTTATCACTATACATGTTGTCAAAATTATGAATGCCTCAAGTCATGAATTATGCCTTGCGTCACAAACTATACCTTGCATCACGAATTATGCTTCGCGTCATGAACTGTCTTATGCTTCGTGTTACAAACTATGCCTCGCATCACAATATTATTGCTTCAGAAGTCATATGATTATTACTTGGGGCATTGGTTAATAGTTAATAATTATAATTTGTTGTGCTAATTATTAAAAAAACATATATTAAATTAAATAGTAAACATACATTATATTTTACATTTAATATTTATTTTCTTTTATAGTTATCCTGGTGGGTTTAGCTATTGCAGAAGGAATATTATTTACTAGATAATAAATATGTCTATTCTCTGATTCCATTATTCCATAAATTGCTGATTTTCTATTTGAATTTCCACCATCTTTAAAAGTTTTATTGAAAAATTTATTAATATGCATGTGGTTTTTTTTCTCCACTGGTGAACAAGAAAAAGATTTAAGGCCAAATCTTGATGAAGACTCATAAATTCATGTACATGATATACAAGTACATGTATATATGGAGTCACGTCAGATGCATTATACAAGCCTTCAATAAAATTATTTTGTAAAGGATTACCTTGAGATTTTGTTAAAAATTTCTTAAACCATAATAAGGCATCATTTTGAAATTGCAAATTGGATCACACATGTTGCTATATATGTGGGGGGTTCAAAAAGTTTTGTCACAGGACCTGTAACTTTATAACCTTGAATTAAATTAATCTGAATTCTTTTTTAAATAAAAGGCTTATTTCTCCTCTTTCAAATAAAAAATTGTTTGTTTTTTATAATTCATTGATTACTGAAATAATAATTTGCAAAGATCATCAATAAAATCAACTGAAAATTTTTGTTACAAAGTCATATAACTTTATGATTTTAAATGTAATAGGTTTAAAAATATTGTTATGAAGATTAGACATTCTTATCTTTCAAACAAAAAAAAGTTTAAATTTTTTGGCCTGTTAGTTACTAAGATATTAAATTTTAAAAATATCCAATAAAAAATATTTTATGTGCACTGTAAATGGATGGGATGTTAATACTATATGTCTAAATTTTTTTATTTACATATTAACTCATTCCTTCAAAATAGTTTCCCTTAACTTCTATACAATGTCTCAGTCTCATACACCAATTTTTAAAGCAATTAAAATACTCTTCTTGTGGTATGTTATTTGTTATTAATTTTACAGCATGTGCAAGGTCTTGAATCCTCTCAAACCTCTTCCCACCAAGTTCTTTCTTAATTTTAGAGAACAAAAAAAATCACAGGGGACCAGGTCAGGACTGTAAGGAGGGTGGGGAAGCATTACAACTCGCTCTTTTTGCAGATATTCAGTGACAACCTTTGCCTTGTGTGGTGCTGCATTGTCATAATGCAGCATGATATCACGTACTGTGCTCCTGTTGTTGATTTCTTTGAATTTTTCAAAAACATTTGGTAAAACTATGTTGGCATAGTAATTACCAGCGACTGTCTGTCCTTTCTCCACCACAATGCTTGCCACAACTCCATCAGCTGAAAAGAAAATGCAAAACATTTGTTTTTTGCTATTTTGAGCTGTTCTTGTAATTTGTGGCCGGTTTTCTCCTTTGCTTAGCCAAACCTTGTTGGCATCTTTAGATGAGACTGTAAAAAAATGAAGCCATGTTTCATCT